CTACTTTACATTAAAAAGCAAGTCTTAAACTTTACATTAAAAAGCAAGTCTTAAAGTCTTTTCTGACATTCACTGTGGTCTTTTCTTTCTTTCCTATCTTTTTAATGACCAACCGTTTGCTTTCTTCATGTATGATGTTCTTGATGTCATCCCACAACTCTTCTGGTCTCTAGTCATTAGTGTTCAGGGTGTCAAATTTGTTTTTGAGTTGGTCTTTAAATTGAGGTGGAGTATCCTAAAGGTCATACTTTGGCTTTCATGGACTTGTTTTCATTTTCTTCAACTTCAATGTGGACTTGCATATGACTTGCATAACAACGTGGACTTGCATAACAAGGGTGTTTGTTGTGGCTGATGATTTTGAGCTTCTTTGTCATCTCTTCCCACAGATGAAATTAATTTGATTCTTGTGTATTCCATCTGGCTAATTCATATCTATAATCCAATTTATGTTGTTGAAAAAGTTGTTGGCCTTGCAAAATTCTATAATGCAGTCTCCAGGGTCATTTCTATCACCAAGGCCATATTTTCCAACTATGGATCTTTCCTTTTTGTTTCCAACTTTCACATTCCAATCACTAGCAATTATCAATGCATCTTGATTTAATGTTTGATTAATCATGCTGGAGAAGTTAGTAGAATTGTTCACTTTCTTCATCATTGGCTTTGATGTTTGGTGCATAAATTTGAGTAATAGTTGCATTACTGATCTTCCTTGTAGGTGTTTAGATATTATCTTATCACAGAGAGCATTGTGCTTCAAGATAGATCTTGAAATAATTATTTTGATGATGAAAGCAATGCCATTTCTGTTCAATCTGTCATTGCATCATAAACCACATGGTTGTCCAATTCAAACTGACCAATACCAGTTCAATTCAGTTCATTAATGCCTATGATATTGATTTTTATGCATTCTATTTCATTTTTTGATGACTTCCAATTTTCCTAGATTCATACTTTGTATATTCCACATTCTGATTATTAATGGGTGTTTGCATCTGTTTTATCTCATTTTGAGTTGTGCCCCATAAGCAAATGAAGGTCCTGAAAGCTTTGCTCCACCATCTACTTTGAGGAGGCAACTCTTCCCCAGTCATATTTTGAGTGTCTTCCAACCTGAGATGCTTATTTTCTGGCACTATATCAAACAATGTTCTGCTGCTATTCATAAGGTTTTCAGTGGCTAATTCCTATGAAGTGGATTGCCTATTGCTTCTTTCTAGTTTGTTCTTAATCTGGATGCTTCACTGAGACGTGTCTATCATGCATGGCCCTACTGAAATTTGTTACACCAAAATACACCTGCTGGTATTTACACCACTAAAATTGGCAAATGCTACAAATCAGGGTCTCTACCATGAAAAACCAGTTGTCAAGCATTTGCTAGCACACCTAGGGATTTTATGTACATTATGTAACTCCATTCTTATTATAATATTTTAATGGTTTGTTATGAGTTATGTGATAGTTTACATGGGAGAACATTAGTTTTACATTCATCCTATCATATATCATTTCATTGCCATAGTTGCAATCCCCTCCATGCATCATCAACCAACCAAAGGGTATACACTACAAGCCTGCCCTCTGGATCTAAGTTCCCTCTTGAAAGCTTGTAAGCCAGTCACTTCTTGCCTTTGTAGCCCCCCCCCCTTTTTTTTTTTGTTTGGGTAGCCAATGTCCAAGTTGCCCATCCCTGTCTACTCTGTGTATGGAGGGGGTGGGAATGATCCTTGCTGTAAGGATTTGTTCCTCTTTTGAGCTACTGCAACCATAGGTGTAGGTCAAGTTCATCAAATTGTATCATGATAATTTTTTAGATTGATTTTGTTATTATGTTTTTATAAATTAATTTTAAACAAAGGAGACAAGTAAAATAGATATAATAGTGCATATTTCATCAACTGTTTGATCTTGGTTCTGCCTGTTCAAAAGCTCATACATTAAAGTTTATAAGGGAAGTGACAGTGAATTGTCTTCTTAGTTCCTCCATTTATCACTTGCCACAGAAATCAATATTTAATGTCAGCTCTTCTGGGGAAAAGATGTAGTCCATTGATGAAAATGCTTTCATTCATCTGAAAATCTCTAGCTGCACTGAGGAAATGTTTTTCTGTGTTTCTTCCACTTCCTACTGCAGGTGGTTTATTGGGGACTGGTTGGATTGCAGCAAGACTTGTGATGGTGGAATGCGTACAAGAGCAGTGCTCTGTATCAGGAAGATTGGACCTTCAGAGGAAGAGACACTGGACTACAGTGGTTGCTTAACACACCGGCCTATTGAAAAAGAGTCCTGCAACAACCAGTCTTGTCCACCTCAGTGGGTGGCTTTGGACTGGTCAGAAGTAAGGAAACCTGAGGCTGTATGTGAGATGTCTTAACTATCAGTACCAAACCAATTAGTATTAAGGACATCTGAGCATGTGAGCATCTTAGAACTCAACAATGAATTTAGCCATGTTCTGTTTTTATTGCTACTTGTCAGGAAGTAAGGGTGTCTTGGGCAGGGGAATCAAAGAGGAACTGGTCATCTGTCTTATTAAAAATAAGTCTCAGGTGAATTTGAAAGAACATTATGATGATTACTCATTTAAGTGATTTTTCTTCTCCTTGAGTGCATCACAGACTCAGAATTAGTGATACGTGATTAAAAACTGAAATTCAAAAAAATAGTCAAGAAAAGAAGATCCTGAACTTATTGAAGACCTAGATTGCCCTTTCCTAGGCACTCTGGACTGTTAACGGCATGATCAGTGGCTCAAACACACCAGCCTCCCTGGAAATCCTATATAAGGACTCTATGAGTCAGAACTGACTTTATGTCACGTAACAACAACAGGAGCTCAGTTGGAAGGCATAAGTTATGTCTTCCCCCCTCCCCCCAGGTAATGTTACAGACTGGGGTCCTGCTATGGCACGATAGGATAAATATTGTTGTTGTTGTTAAGTGTTATCTAGTTGATTCTGACCATTAGCGACCTTTTATAGGGTTTCTGAGGAGTGATGGTGAGCTTGAACCACCAGCCTTGCTGTTCAGACTGACCTTGCAGTCCAGCCCATTAATCCACAGTGCCACATCAGGACTCCATAGGATAAATGCTGGACTGCAAATGGAAAGGTCGGCTGTTCAAATCCATCACTTGCTCCTTGGAAAACCTATAGTGTTGCTGTGAGTTGGAAATGACTCGCCAGCACTTAATACAAACAACAATGTTATAGACTAATTGCTTAGCTCTTGAATATGAGTCTTTATCAATTTATTATTATTTGATAGCTATCTGTCTTCCATCCTGACTTGCCCAATAGAATGTAATCTCCACGAAAGTGTGAACTTTATTCTGTTCTGTAACTCCTGCAATACACACAATATGTTCGCAAATGTTTATAGAATAAATTAATCTTTAAAATAGTAAATATGGCCTTCAATGCTGCACTAGGTTATAATAAGAAGAACATTTGGATCAGAGGCACACTAATACTAGAACTGACTATATGGACTTTCACACAACTATCCACACATATGCATATACACATAGATATTTTAATTCTGTTGTGTATGGGGAAGAAACATGGAGCTCTACAGGATTTGCCTACAAGTGTCTTATCCACGGTCAGTGAAAAAGAACTGACTAAAATAATGCTTTCCTGGCATTACACGTGTCACAAAAGAACCCAATATAATCCAGAAGTACTTAGAAAGATGATTTTATGAAAAATAAGGTAAGAGGTAGTATTAATTCTTGATTCCCAAGTACATATGAAACATACACATGTACACACTATACTATTATCCACAATTCTCAAAGGATATCTGACTTGTCCTGTGGTGGTGTTGTTGTTAAATACTATCAAGTTGGTTCCGAACCATCGTAACCCTGTATAAGGTTTCCAAGGAGTGGCTGGTGAACTTCAACCACTGACCTTGCAGTTCAAACTAACATTGCAGTCCAGTGCATTAACCATAGCACTATACCAGGACTCCGTGACTTCTCCTATAATGCTAGTTAATGTTAAAAGGAGTAAGCACCTGGCAACATGGCTAGGGAGTCCTGGTGTGGCACTGTGGGCTAATGTATCAGACTTCAAACTCATTTGAACTACAAGATCAGTGATTCAAGCTCACCACCTGCTCCTTGGAAGCCCTATACAGGGTTGCTATGGGTCGGAATCGACATAATGGCACTTAACAACAACAATATAGTTAGAGATAATTCTTTCAAATTAACATAACAGGCTGTATTCCAGATTCTATATTAACATGTCCTACAAGCTCTGGTAGCATAGTGCTTACAAATCAGGCTGCTAATCTCACAATCAGCAGTTTGAAACTAACAGCTGTTCTGTAGGAAAACGATAAGGCTTTCTGCTCCCATAAAGATTTACAGCCTTGGAAACCCTGTACAGGGTGGCTTCGAGTCAGAACCAACTCCACTGCACATAACAACAACATGTGTTCCAAAAGGCAGTTGTTCGAACAGAACATGGAACACAGAATGGTTTAAAATTAAGAAAGATGTGCAACAAGGTTGTGCGACAGGGTGGCTATGAGTCAGAACCTACTCCACAGCACATAACAACAACATCTGACCAAGAAAGGTGTGTGACAAGGTTGTATTCTTTCACCATACTTATTCAACCTGTATGCTGAGCAAATAATAAGAGAAACTGCTTTCTATGAAGAAAAACATGGCATCAGGATTGGAGGAAGACTCATTAACAACTTGCGATATGCAGATGATACAACCTTGCTTGCTGAAAGTGAAGAGGACTTAAAACATTTACTGATGAAGATCAAAGAGCACAGCCTTCGGTATGGATTGCATCTCAATGTAAAGAAAACAAAAATCTTCACCACTGGAGCAATAAACAACATTCTTACCAATGGAGAAAAGATTCATCTTGGATCAACTATCAGCACTCATGGAAGCAGCAGTCAAGAAATCAAACAATGTATTGCATTAAGCAATCTGCTGCACAAGACCTTTTTATAGTGTTGAAGACCAAAGGTGGCAGCGTGAGGACTAAGGTGCGCCTGACCCAAGCCATGATATTTTCAATAACCTCATATGCATGTGAAAGCTGGACAGACCATAGAAGAATTGATGCCTTTGAGTTATGGTGTTGGAGGAGAATATTGAAAGTGTCATGGGCTGCCAAAAGAACCAACTGATCTGGTGTTGGAAGAAGTGCAGCCAAAGTGATCCTTGGTGGCCAGGATGGCCAAACTTCATCTCTCATACTTCGGACATATTGTCAGGAGGGACCAGTCGGGAGAGAAGGATATCATGTTTGGTAAGATGGAAGGTCAGATAAGAAGAAGACCCCCCAGTGTGATGGATTGGGAAAGTAGCAGCATCATTGGGCTCAAGCATGGCAACAATTGTGAGGTTGGCTCAGGACCAGACAGTGTTTCGTTTTGTTGTGCATAGGGTTGCTATGAGTCTGTACTGACTCAATGGCACCAAACAACAGCAGCAAAAACAAATGGAAATATTATAGTACTTGCTTTGACAATTTCCTATAAACCTTATTTGCTAAGAAAAACAATTTAAATATTATGTATATATAACTATTTTCCCTCTAAAACTTACTTTCTGAGTGGCCTTATTTTGATGAAAGCACATGGCTAAAAGATGAATAGTTTCAGATGGGACTTGGAAGTGGAGCGTCTGACCAGTTGTAATTATCTGTGGAATCTTTAGCAGAAATTGGAAATGTTTCTCCCAGGTTTTCTGGCTACACTTCACCTTTAGTAACTACATTCTGTCCTTGTAACTTTTAAGGAGTCCTACGGGTTGGATGTGGCACTGTGGTTTAATGCACCAGACTGCAAAGCTGTTTGAACTGCAAGGTCAATGGTTCAGGCTCACCAGCTGCTCTTCGAAACCCTATATAGGGTCACTATGGGTTGGAACTGACTCGGTGGCACTTAACAACAAATGGGTTAGATGCTAATTACATCTATTATAATTTTTCTAACTACAAAATTGGCGGTTCAAATTCACTAGCTGCTCTGTAGGAGAAAGACAAGTTAGAACGACGTCTGCTCTCATAAAGATTTACAGTCCCCCATAAAGAACCCAGTAGTTCTGGTGTGGCATGGTAGACTAAGCACTGTACTGCTAACCACAAAATTGTTGGGTTAAACCCATCAGGTGCTCATTGGAAACATTAAAGAAAAACTGTCAGATGCAGTAAGACATCTTTAACATAATGTTGTTAAAAGTGCTATTAAGTTAGTACCAACTCATAACGACCATGTGTAGAGTTTCTGAGGCTTTTTAAATCTTTGTTGGAGCAGAAAGCCTCATCTTTCTCCTGAGGAGTGACTTGTGGGCTTGAACTGCTGACCTTGCTGTTCACAGAGCCACTGTGCACCCCTTTGACATAATAATACAGTATTATTAACAATAATGCTTTAATGCGTATCACAAAGCAGCACAGTGTTACTTTAAGTGGGAACCAACTCTATGACACTTAACAGCATCCACAACAACATAAAGATCCCTGCATAGGGTTACTATGAGGAGGGATCGGCTCAATGGCATGGGTTTTTTGGTGTATCTAGCTTTAATTTTATTTTTCAATCAAATGAACAGATATTCTTGGTATTGTTCATGCAATTGTTAAGAGAAACAGTATGGACTCTTCTGTTTTTTTTTAACATGGATGGGTGGATTAAATCTTTGATTCTTTTGAAAGATAAGGTCTAGTGTTAAAGAATAGATGTTCTATAGAGTTGTACAAATTTTAATAATTATAAGCAGCCCCCAGGTTACCAATACCCAACATAAGCATAATTTCAAACCAACCCCCAAAGCATATTTATTAAAATTTGAGGTGCACACAATGGGTCATAATACTAGACAGGTGTTACTTTGTGACATGCATTAGTACATCATTGTTATTATTGAATCGATACTGGCTCAATGGCACCTAACAACAACAACAACAACAAAACCACAGGGCTAGGCAATCTCAAGAATATTATAAACAAATAAAGCAACTCTACAGAACTAGAGAATAATATAAGATCATATTTTAATGAAACAGTGGATTGTGATATATAAACATATATTGTTGTTAGGTGCCTTTGATTTAGTTACAACTCATAGTGGCCCTTTTGTACAACAGTAGGAAACACTGCCCAGTCCTATGCCATACTCACAATTACTGTATTTGAACCCTTGCTTTTAAGGAGAATTGTGGCTGCTCTTCCAAGACAGATTGGCTTGTTCTTCTGGCAGTTCATGGTACTTTCGACATTCTTTGTCAGTACCTTAATTCAAATACATTCATTCTTCTCTTGCCTTTAGTATTCATTGTCCAGCTCTCACGTGCATCT